TACATCTGGGTTCTCAATTCTGTTCCGTTGGTCAATGTATCTGTCGTTGTACCAGTACCAGGCTGTTTTGACTACTGTAGCTGTATAGTAGATTCTGAGGTCAGGTAGTGTGAGTCCTCCTACTTTATTCTTCTTCAATAGGACTTTACTTATCCAGGGCTTCTTCTCTTTCCATAGAAAGTTAATGATTAGTTTTTCCATCTCTTTAAAGAATGTTGTTGGTATTTGGATCAGGATTGTATTGTATTTGTAAATTGCTTCGGGTAGAATTGTCATTTTCACAATGCTGAGTCTACCTATCCATGAGCATGGTATGTTTTTCCATTTATGTAGATCCCTTTGGGTTTCTTGCAGTAGTGTTTTATAGTTTTCTCTGTATAGGTCTTTTATATCCCTGGTTAGATTTATTCCTGAGTATTTTATTTTTTTAGGGTCTATTATAAATGGTATTGTTTTCCTGATTTCCTTTTCATTGTTCTCTTTATTGGTGTATAGGAATCCAACTGATTTTTGTATGTTTATCTTGTATCCTGCTGATTTTTTCTATTAGTTCCAGTAGTTTTCCTGGGAGTCTTTAGGGTTTTCTATGTATAGTATCATATCATCCACAAACAGGGACAGTTTAACTTCTTCATTACCAGTTTGGATGCCCTTTTTCTTTTTATTGCCTTATTGCTGTAGCTAGGACTTCCAGCACAATGTTAAATAGGAGTCCACCTGGCATCTTTGCCACTACAAAACTTGACTGGAGAAGTGATGCTGGCCGTTGTAGAGCAAGACGGCTTCTTGATGGAATCTAAATCAGCCCTATCTCTGCTGGCTGTAGTTTGAATCATTCAAAGACACTGCCCATCCCTGTAGAGAAATAAAAATGGCCCAAGGCAGTCCCCCAGCCTGGGGAAGGTAGGCTTAGGGGTGGTTGTGTTTGCCAGACCCCTGCAAAGCATGTCTGTTCTATCCTCCTCCTACTTGACCACCAGCGCCCCTTCCAGTTCCTCAGAGGTGATTACTTTCCTTGCATTGTTATCACTGAACCCACTGCATGGAGCAACCAGGGCTAGCTCTGATGGAAGCATTCCATCCACGTGCACACAGCACAAACTCAGCAAACGCCTGTCTTTGCAGCTTCAGGAGCTTCAGTGAGCTCCCCATGCTCCTGCCCACTCTCCTCTGCCAGGGACCCACTCCAGCTGTCGATGGCTGTGTGTTGGGTCCACCCACCTCCCCCAGCTGCAAGTGATATTTGCCCCCCTTTCTCAGGGCTTCCTTCTCCTTCCAATTGTCCATTTTTCTTTGTAAAATAAATCAAAGCCAGGTCCCTCCAGAGGCAGCTGGGAGCCAGCTGGCATTACTAGTTGATGGATGAAATTGTTCCCACTCCGCTGGCAGGACCAGCCTGCCCCCTTGCTGCATGCTGGACTGGTTTACTCTTAACACTCTATTCAGCTGAAAGTGAATGGACGACTCGACCAAGAGGAATTTAAAAGGCTTTGGAAGCGCCTTGTCAACTGCCAGGTATGTGACATGTTCTTTTTAGGCTAACTCTTGTTCAGACCAGTTTAGTAAATATTTGCAGAACGAAACCAGTTGCAGTAGAGTTGACTCTGACTCATGGCGACCTCATGTGTGTCAGAGTAGAACTGTGCTCCATAGGGTTTTCAGTGACTGGTTTTTAGGAAGTAGATCTCCAGGCCCTTGTTTCAAGGTGCCTCTGGGGGGACTCAAACTTCCAACCTTTTGGTTAGTAGCTGAGTGCATTAGCCATTTGCACCACTTATTGTGTTCCCAATCTTGCACCCAGAGTTGAGGGGCATGAAAGAAGAGGACACCTCATGCCTACCCTCAAGGAGAGCCCACATTTTGTTAGGAAAGGCATGCATGCAACACTAGGAAGCACAGGGCGATGCCCGATTAAGTGGCAGGAGAGGAATGCTTTAGGAGTTTGGAGGAGAAAGAAGTCACTGTGGACTGTAGCTAAAACTGCCAGCTAGCATTCCCCTCCTTGTTTCTCCCACGGTCCATTGCAACATCCCCCTATCTGCTAGCTGGTCTCTTCCCCCTTCCAATCCATCTGCCAGAACCATCTGTCAAGCACACAGATGTGATCTGTGGCCTCAGTGGCTCCCCATTGATCTCAAAAGAGTCTAAACTTCTCAGAGTGGCACACGGGCCCCTCCAAGTTGAAGTCTAGGAGAAGCTCTTTCTCTCATCCCACTTGCTCCTTCAGACCGCAGCCACAAGGCCCCCACTATTGTCACTAAGTGCATGCCATTGTTCCTTCTGGCCTGCCCTTCACCTCTCCTTTCCCCCATTCTAAGACGTGTCAGTGGCCACCTACTCTGAGACCCAGCCTCCCCCGAGGGTCCAGCTCACCCCCAGGACCCAGTCAGTTCCCTCCCCTCTGGTTCCTAACATGTGAACCCACATCTGTCAGGCATTCCACACTGGGTTGTCTTATTTTTTGTAATTGTAAATAACATCTGCCTGTTCATAGTGGAAAATAGAAAATAAAAATAGGCAACAAAAAAAAATTAAGAAAGAAAACATGATCTTGCTAACTAAAAAATACTATTAACACCAAGTGAATATTCTTCAGAATTTGTCCTATAATATGTGCATGTGCACAAGCAGGTTCATACACACATACACATATTTAAAAAAAGCATAACCTGTTTTTAAAAAAATAACTTACCAATATGTCAAATATCTAGCTATGTCACTATTTCTACATCGTTTTTAAAGACTGAATAAAATGCCAGGATGTATTACCTACTCTCTGACTTGGGTCACTAAGTTCACTGCCCCACCCTGTGATGGCTGACCTGTCCACCTTCCATTAGATTGCAGGGTCCTCCATTGTATTCATCATCTTTCCTCAATGCCTTCCATAGGGTCTAGCTCACAAATACTGAGTAAAAGAACAAACAAATGAATTACTGAATGAATGAGTGAATACCTCTTTGAAAACACTCCAGGTCTTTCTTTATATCCATTGTCTCGGTTATCTGATGCTGCTATAACAGAAATACCACAAGTGGATGGCTCTTACAAAGAGAAATTTATTCTCTCGCAGTCTAGTAGGCTACAAGTCCAAATTCAGGGCATCAGCTCCAGGGGAAGGCTTTCTCTCTCTGTCAGCTCTGGAAGAAGGTCCTTGTCATCAATCTTCCCCTGGTCAAGGAGCTTCTCAGGTGCAGGGACCCAGGGTCCAAAGGACACACTCTGCTACCTGTGCTGCTTTCTTGGTAGTACGTGGTCCCCAACTCTCTGCTCCTTCCCTTTCATCTTTTGTAAGAAAAAAGGTGGTGCAGGCCACACTCCAGGGAAACTCCTTTTACACTGGATCAGGGATGTGACCTTAGTAAGGGTGTTACATCCCACCCTAATCCTCTTTAACATAATCTAACCTTGCCTCATTAACCACAAGCAAAGATTAGGACTTACAACACATGGGAAAATTACCATCACAAAAAGAAGGACAACCACACAATACTGGGAATCATGGCCTAACCAACTTGACACATATTTTGGGCGGGACTCAGTTCAATCCAGGACACCCACCAAGAGCCAAATAAGCTAGGAAAAGTCCTCAAACTGCCATTTCACAGTAATTGTCTCCCACAGTCAGCCTTGGTCACACACCTGCTTGTGAGGTATTATGCCTTAGATCAGCTCCTATGGGATAGCTATGGGTAGACCAAATTTAGGAGTCCTGAGTTCAGTCCAAGTCCCTGAGTGGTACAAATGAACCAAAAGGCTGGAGGTTTGAGTCCACCCAGTGGTGCCTTGGAAGAAAGACCTGGCGATCTACTTCCGAAAAATCGGCCATTGAAAATCCTGTGGAGCACAGTTCTACTCTGACACACATGGGGTCTCCATGACTCAGAGTCAACTTGACAGCAACCGTTTTTTCTGGGAGTTCAGTCCAGCCTACGACACTTATGTGTATAATCCAAGGCTCGGTATTCACCTACCATAGCACCAGTTTCCTCATCTGTGAAGTAGGGATGATGATCAGGACTACAGTAAGAATTAGTTAGAGGTGGAAAAATCCCCTATAAATGTGACAGCTGCTTTGTACAGGAGCGGGGTGTTACTGTTACTATATCTTGCAGCTGGGCTTGGATCCATGATGCAGTTCTGTGCAGAGCACTTTCCTAAGCACTTTATAAACTGTTACTTAATCCTCCCGACAGACCTCTGAGGCAGGCACTGTAATTAGCCCTAAGCTGCAGTTGGGGAAACTGGGCCTAGAGACTTAGTATCTTGCCCAATGTTACATGGCTGGTAAATAATCAAATAGGATTTAAACCCAAGCAGTTTGATGGTAAAGTCTGTGCTCTTAACTGCTACCGTTTACAAATTCTCCTCTAGAGAGCTCTGTACCTCCCTCAAAAGCAGCAAGGTGCCCTATGTGTCAAATTCAAGGTGCCCAGTCTAGGGGGTGGAGATGAGGAGAGGAGAGAAGGGTGGGGAAGCCACAGGCCTGGGGAGAGGAAGCCACAGCCCCACAGGCTGGCGGCCAGGATGTTTGACTCTAGCGGGTATAACCCACACCTGCCTTCCCCACTCCTCAGCTCTGCTGCCCTGACTACCTCTGAGCGGGGTCTCACCCACATTCTAATGAAGTAACCTCCAGGGATGGAAAAGGGACTTCCAGGACCTCCCTGGCTTCAGGTGGGCAAGGGACTCACACAGGCTTCTTGCATCTTTTCCCACATCAGGATGTTTTCCAGAACACTCAGAAGAGCTCTGGGGTTCTCCTAAGCTCAGATCTGTGGAAGGCCATAGAGAATGCAGGTAAAAGGGGGCCTTTGAGCTGTGGGGATTGGGGGCTGTGGAGTGTGTGTGTGTTGCCCCCATCCCCCTGGCATGCTGTAGGCAAGGCTGGTGCAGCAATGCTGGTCAGTCAGGAGAGAGAAGAGCAGCAGCATCCGTGTCCATGTCCTCCCCTGGGTTACATTGACCTCTGTGGGTCTCCACGGCTCTGGGCACACACCATCCTCCCCCGCCTGAGTTCTTGTGTGCCAGTCGTTTCCTAATTGCCTTTTCTCCTTGGCCCAGCTCTAATTGTGAGAAAACAGCCCCCCATGACTGATAAACTACCAGAAATGAAGCTCACCTTAGATATGAATCCATCTCAGCATCTGGGCCCATCTGGGTTAAATACCTACTAGCAGACTGATGCTTTCTCTTTACAGGAGGTTTGGGGGCTAAATTAAATCAAACGGCATCTGTCTGCTTCAAGTAGAAAGAGAGGTTTCAGTCCTGGGTTAATGATAATAATACCTTAGGGTCTGTAAGTTATTTGTTTGTTCTGTCCATGGTATATTTAACATTCTTTGCCAACACCATAATTCAGAGGCCTTGATTCTTCTTCTGTCTTCCTTATTCATTGTGCAGCTTTCACATGCATATGAGGTGACTGAAAATACCATGGCTTGGATCAGGCACACCTTAGTCCTCAAGGTGACATCTTTGCTTTTTAAAGAGGTCTTTCGCAACAGATTTGCCTAAAGCAATGTGTTGTTTGATTTCTTGACTGCTGCTTCCAGGGGTGTTGATTGTGGATTCAAGTGAAATGACTTCCTTGACAACTTCAATACTTTCTCCGTATATCATGATGTTGCTTATTGGTCCAGTTGTGAGGATTTTTGTTTTCTTTATGTTGAGGTGTAATCCATACCGAGGGCTATAGTCTTTGATCTTCATCAGTAAGTGCTTCAAGTCCTCTTCACTTCCAGCAAACAAGGTTGTATCACCTGCATATCTCAGGCTGTTGATGAGTTTTCCTCCAATCCTGATGCCACATTCTTCTTCATATAGTCCCGCTTCTTAGATTATTTGCTCAGCATACAGATTGAATAAGTACGGTGAAAGGATACAACCCTGACGCACACTTTTCCTGATTTTAAACCACTCAATATCCCCTTGTCCTGTTCAAATGACTGCCTCTTGATCTGTGTACAGGTTCCTCATGAGCACAATTAAGTGTTCTGGAATTCCCATTCTTCACAATGTTATCCACAATGTGTTATGATCCACACAGTTGAATGCCTTTGCATAGTCAATAAAACACAGGTAAATATCTTTCTGGTATGCTCTCCTTTCAACCAAGATCCATCTGGCATCAGTAATGATATCCCTTGTTCCATGTCGTCTTCCTAATCCAGCTTGAATTTCTGGCAGTTCCCTGTCCATGCACTGCTGCAAACATATTTGAATTATCTTTTTTTTTTTTTTAATTGTTGTCGTTTGAATGAAGTTTACATTTCAAGTTAGTCTCCCATACAAAAATTTATACATACATTGTTATGTGACCTAATTGCTTTCCCCATACTGTGACAGCACACTCCTCCTTTCCATCCCTGATTCCCCATGTCCATTCAACCAGCTCCTAACCCTCTCTGCCTTCCCATCTCACCTCCAGACAGAAACTGCCCGTTTAGTCTCTTGTATCTACTTGAGCTAAGAAGCACACTCCTCACGAGTATCACTTTATGTCCCACGGTCCAGTCCAATCCCTGTCTGAAGAGTTGGCCTCGGAAATTGTTTTAGTTCTGGGCTGATAGAGAATCCAGGGGCCATGCTTTCCAGGGTTCCTCCAGTCTCAGTCAGACCATTAAGTCTGGTCTTCTTACTAGAATTTTCTGTACCCCACTTTTCTCCTGCTCCATCAGGAACACTCTGTTGTGTTCCCTGTCAGGGCGGTCACTGGTGGTAACCGGGCACCATCTAGTTCTTCTGGTCCGCATTTGAATTATCTTTAGCAAAATTTTACTTGTGTGTGATGTTAATGATATTGTTTGATAATTTCCACATTCAGTTGGATCACCTTCCTCGGGATGGGCACAAATATGGATCTCTTCCAATTGGTTGGCCAGGTAGCTGTCTTCCAAATTTCTTGGCATAGATGAGTGATCACCTACAGCACTGCATTTATTTGTCGAAACATCTCAATTGGTATTCTGTCAATTTCTGCAGCCTTCTTTTTCGCCAGTGCAGATCAAACTTCTTCCTCCTTCTTTCAATACCATTTGAATTCATGTTTTCTTAATTCTTCAGGAGAAATCTAATGGTTTCAGGTCACATGGAACCCTCAGGCCACTGGGCTTTCCCCCTTTATTGATGGTTTGGCTTGCAAGGTTCCACTCACTCAAGAGAGCTTGTAGTCCCGATCCTTTGGCAGTCTGGAGTGGCCCCTGTGTGCTTCCCTGGAGCTCATAACTAGACATGCAAGATGACAAAGCCCAAAGAGGGTAAGGCACCTGTCTCCTGTGCACGTGAGGCGACCTTCTGAGTTCTGGTCTCTTCTCTGAGGAGCATCCTCTTCCCTGGATGACCAACCTTAAAGACTGACCCATCTCTTCCAGAGACCTCACCTACCCACACAGGCAGTGTCCACACATAAACCCACACACAGTCATGGGGGAAGGAAGCAAGATTGTTTACAAGGTCACCAGCTGAGAGCGATCTGACAGAGGTAGGACTGGAAGGAAATTCCAGGTGTCCTGGCAGCTCCCATCCCACATGGGAATGATCAGATGATTGTGAAGGCTGAGTGTCTCCAGAAAAACAGCTTGTGTCTTGAGTGTCTTAAGTTGGTCTGTGACTGGACATCGGAGCAGTTTTCCTGGAGTCTAGCAGCCAGCAAGAAAGAAAAGACCAGAGCATCTTGGGTGGGCTGGCCGCCAAGACAGGCTCAGTCGGAAATCGTGGTGGGAAGCCCACTAGGTCTTCTGAACAGGTCTCTCAAACCTTGTGAGGCAGAGGACTACATCCCACCCTGCCTCCTCCTGCTCACTAACTCGCCCTGTGTCCTCAGATTTCCTTGCTGGGATCTCCGTCAGCAGAGAGCTGATGGATCTCATGAACCTCCGGTACAGCGACAGTGCTGGCAGGGTCAGCTTCCCAAGCCTGGTCTGCCTCCTGATATGACTTGAAGCCATGGCAAGTAAGTGTCACCTGGGGAGGAGAATGCCGACATCCTGAAAACCTTCGCAATGACCAAAGGACACAGGGGGGACCGTGAGCACACTGCTGCTCCAAGCCTGGGCGAGGCCTCAGTAGTAGGTGCGCTGGGAGTCCTGCGTGAGGACCTTTGCTCCTAGAGAAGGACAGCACCAACTGTAGCATAAAATAAAGCAGGAGGCTCATATCTCCAGCTGCCCTTCTGCACCCTTTCTCCCCAGGACGTCTCCTTCTCTCTATTCTTCATCACACTATCCAGCCCCTCTCTCAGGAAAAGGGTTACTTTAAATCACTGTGTTTCCTTTCCCAGCTGTGTTTATAGTTTAAACCTACTCTGTAATCCCACAATGGAAGATTTTGGTCTCTGGCGAAGGAATTTCACAGACAAGTGAATAGATGGGCAGGAGCCCTTTGCCACAGCTCTAGAAATCCAACTATGTAGGCCAGAGGCTTTGACACTTTTTAGCTACATAACCCTTTGTTTGAAATTAAATCTTATGTGAAACCCCAGACCATGATATGGCTCAAAATGGAGCTGCTGTGCTGAGGTAGAGCTGGGAGCCCCGAATCCCACCTCTTAACCCTTGCACCACCCTCTGCCATGAGCTCCTCTGCAAACCCCGATGGCTCTGCGGAACACAGTCTGAAAACCAATGAAATGAGACAATCGATAGAGATGGAGAGACTAGAGCCCTGGGTGGGAAAAAGAGAAGTCTGAGGCACAAGCTTTGCCCCTAGAGAGCTCTCAGTTGGACAATGGAGGTCCCCTAACTTGTGAATGTGAAATATTTAGAGAAGGCTATACCCCCCTCCAACCCTCAGGCCGAGGGTAGAGAGAGTCAAAGTGTAAGGAAACTAGAAGAGGAAGAGGGGCGTATGGGCCCAAGTAATCACAGAGAGGTGCTCTGAGGAGGTAAGCAAGGATGGGTGGAGCTTGGCTGGAAAGAAAAGCGGAGGGGAGGCCAAGCGGAGTCATTGGAGAGTGAGGGGGTGATTTACTCAGAATAGCCACATTTGCTTTTCTCTTCGTGTGGGCCCAGGCCTGCCTCCCTTGTCCTGATTCCTCTCCTCAGTCAGTGAAACCTTTTTTTCCTTCTTTACCTCAGAGGCTTTCCGTAAACTTTCCAAGGATGGGAAAGGACTCTACCTGACAGAAATGGAGGTGAGCTGCCTTCCTCTCCCAGGGCAGGGCACAGCCCCAGGCCGCCTCTCCTAGCATGATTCCAGGGGGTGTTTTTCTCCCTGAGGATACTGAGCCATCATCAAAGGCCAGCCAAGCTGCTGGCCCCTGCCTCCAATTATTGCCTTTGTGTATTGCTGGCTGCCAAGTCTGCTTTAGGATCTTGGCAGACAGGTTTTATTTTTTTCCAATAGCTAATAAAGCAGAGGATAGTGTGGGAGTCATAATCTCAAGAGGGAATTGAAGAACAGCCCAGTAAGCTCACTGTAAATTAAACTTACTCCCACTGGGTTTTGGAAAGAGCCTCCTGACCTGGTCAGCTGGTTAACGTCAGAAATACTTACCTTTCTTTAGCCAAGTATTCAGGGAGTAGCAAAAGAGGTGCTGTGGTGGGGAGCTGAGACCTCCTTCTTGGGTTGGAACTGGCTGGAAAGGGGTGATGAGACCGGACTGAGCATTCTGGGGGAGGAGGTGCCATTAGCACTGCTCTGTATTAACCTAACATGCATTGGTTATAATGATGACAAGTATCCTTGGGTAGCACAAATGGTTAAGTGCTCGACTACTAGCTGAAAGGTTGGGGTTTGAACCCACCCAGAGATGCCTTGGAAGACAGGCCTGGTAATCTACTTCTAAATGGTCACAGCCTTGAAAATCCTATGGAGCGGTTCTACTCTGCACTCATGGGGTCACCATGATTGGAATTGACTCAACAGCAACTAAAAACAACAACATACTGATGATGCTTATTTCTCAGTGGACGAACCTCGTCATGTACAGCTGAGACAAGAAGCAGAGCAGACCCTACAGTGCAGGTAAGAAATGGCTTTGGAATCACTTTCTCCTAGTAGCATAATTCTGCTTCTCCTCCAGGAACTGCCCACAGGGAGCTGGGAGATGGTGTTCCAGGGATTACAGAGCCCTTATGCATGTGGGCCAAGGCCCAGGTGCTCAGGGCCCTGAGGATCAAGGCCAATGCTGCAGATTTCATCCAGGCCACGTGGACCAGTGGGCATTCATGGAAGGGTGTAGCCTGAAAGTTGCAAAGAGAAAACGTGACCATTCATCTCAAGAAAGGCTAATATGTGGGGCCATAGAAACGGTCAGGCATTAGGGAGAGAAGAGTTGAGTCTGACTCTGGCTTTACCACTACTTCACTATGCAGCTTTGGGCAAATCATGGACATCTTGAGGCATTAGCGTCTATACCTCTAGCGTAAGTGTGCTGAAAAGTTAACACCCCTCTCATATTTTCTCTGCATGTTTATTTTCATGGAACAGACCCTAGAATTACAAAGTCCACACCCCAGCAGCTGTAGCAGAAGCCCTGACAGAGTCTGCTAGAACTCCTCCAGGACTGGGGAGCTCAATAATTTGTGCTTCCCATTGTTGGAGTGATCCATTTGCTAGGCATTCTTTATCTGGAGGTAATAACGTACTCTTAAATTTTCCTTCCTTGCTTCTAGCTCTGTTCTCTGGAGCACTGTAGAAAGAAAGACTGGACATGTCAGGCTTTCAAATATTGAGGAGAACTTTGCTCCACTGCCCAAAAGCTTTCTTCTTCAGTTTTCCCTGTCAATTCTTATCTAGGATCTCTTTAGGATATTCTCTATATGTCAATATCTCTTTGGAGTGTATAGCTCTCCATGCAGTAGCCCTATGATCAGCACCCTCTGGGACCCATTTCTCTGCATTATTTTTGTAAACAGCATTTACTTAATATCCTGATCATGTACTTTGAAATCAAGAGACAAACACTACCTTCATAAAGAAATAATATTTTGGTATAAATATTTCCTGATGAACTTTTGCTGCTTCCTAATGATCACAAGTCAATAAGCGTTGCAGAGATAATAGTTACTTTGATTCAACTATTTTTTTGAAGTCAACTTTCATTCTTTTTAAAGAAATAGGGCATGTCATAGTTTCTAGTTTTCTGGTACTTAGTACAGTCTGCATGATTTCCAATACCAAGAATGATTCTTCAATTGTATCTTTAAACTAATTCAGCATGCAGGGCCTAAGGGCTTGAACTTTTTGAAATAACTGGATTCTTCTTCACTAGCTTTTCTCCTGGATAGCGTCCCAATTCCCTCTTAATTTTTTTGCCCTTCCTGATTTGAAGATTATATAAGAAGGAAGTATAATATAAGATTCATGGTTAGGTGTTTTGGTCTCTTTATTAATGCCCACCATCATTCCTAAGATTGTCCTCCTTCCTTTCATCCATCACTGTATTAGAACATTATCTGCTCAATATTGGCTCATGGTTTGCTTTGCAGAATTGGAGTCAGGAAAGAGAGAAGGTTCTGCCTCCAAATCCACAAACCCACTCTCATCTGTCACCATCTCCTCCGTTTCCTCTAGTTACACTAGAGGATATGTTCCTCTGTGGGCGTTATAGATCCATTACCTTCCACCTTCTCAAGGGCCCGATTAAAAGACTTTCTGTCTTCTGAATATTAAACTTCTCTCTTTCTTTTGGATTCTTCCAATCCCTATTTAAACATGCCCATCTTTTAAATTTCCTCCATCTTATATTCCCTTCCAGCTGCAACTCCATCTCTCTCCTCCCTTTACAGCTAAACTTCATAGAAGAGCTATCTGCCTCCAGGTCCTCACTTTCCACTCTCCCCTAAACTACTTCTACTTGTATATCTCAGTCATCATCTCTATCCCTGACTCTTCACTGGCAACTTATCTGATTTTCCTTTGTGTACTCATATATCCTCAAATCAATTCCCTGCAACCTGAGAACACTTTGTGTGTGTGTGCGTGCACGCACACATGTGCGCATTACGTGAAAGTTTACGGAGCAAATTAGATTCCCATTCGATAGTTTGTACATAAAGTGTTTGATGGCCTTAGCTTCATTCCCCACAATGTGTCGATACTCTCCCCATTTCTGTCCTGGGTTTCCCGTTTCCTTTTGTCCTGATTTTCTACCCCTTCCTGCCTTCTCATCTTTGCTTTTGGGAAAATATTGCCCTTTTGATCTCTTATAATTGATTGAAGAAACATGTTCCTCTTGGGTGTTATTTTTTTATTTTATGGGCTTGTCTATGCTTTGGCTGGAAGGTGGTCTCTGGGAATGACTTCAGTTCCAGTCAGAAGGGTGTCTTAGGGCCATGGTCCCAGGGGTTCTTCCACTCTCTGTCAGACCAGTAAGTCTGGTCTTTTTTGTGAATTTGATTTTTTGTTCTTCGTTTTCTACCACTCCGTCCGGGACCCTCTGTTGTAATCCCATCTAGTTCTGGTCTCTGGTTTGGGTAGGCTGTGGCTTATGTGGTCCATCAGTCCTTTGGACTAATTGCTCCCTGGAGTCTTTGTTTTTTTCACTCTCCTTTGCTCCAGACTGGCAGAGACCAATAGCTGTATCTTAGATGGTCACTTGCAAGCTTTTAAGACCCCAGATGCTACTCACCAAAGTAGGATGCAAAACATTGTCTTTAGGAATCATGTTGTGCCAACTGACATAGATGTCCACCGAGTCTATGATCCTTTGCCCTCTAGCCTGGGAACTTCATCCCACGAGGTATTTAGTCATGTCTAAGAGGTTTCACTGATTGTTCCACTTGTGTGCTCTACTGTCTATATTAATATATGAGGAGTACCTACAGTCATATATTTAGAAATTTCCACCACCAAACGCGTATCAGCTGGTGGGTGTGCTCCCTTACACGCTCCCACATCTGTTGGCATATCTACGTATCAATTTGTAACTTATTGTTTGTTAATACTATTGTTGCAAGATTGTCTATTCTATAGTAGTTATTGTAGTTGTCCTTTATTCCTGCATTGCTCTCAGTGTCCTCTCTTGCTTTGGTCATGTTGTACTGACTTCTTCCATATGTGTATTGTCTTTCCCTTCAGCAATATTAACACATGTCTTCTATCTATTTGGTATATTTTCCTCCCTCCCCCTCCCATTCCTGGTAACCATCAAAGAATTATTTTTTTCTGTGTGTAAACCTTGCGTTGTTACTTTATAATAGAGATCTCATACAAAATTTGTCCTTTTGTGATTGACTTATTTCAGTTAGTATACCCATTGCCATCGAGTTGATTCTGACTCATAGTGACCCTATAGGACAGAGTACCTACAGAGAACCGCATAATGTCCTCCAAATTCGTCCGTGTTGTGAGATGTTTTGCAGATTCATCATTCTTAATCGTTGAGTAGTATTCCATTGTGTGTATGTATCGCAGTTTGTTAATCCATTCATCTGTTGATGGGCACTTAGGTTGCTTCCACCTTTTTGCTATTGTCTATTCATGTCACAGCCTTTATTTCTTTAGGGTATATACCTAGGAGTGGGATTGTTGAATCACATGATATTCTTATTTCTAGCTTTTTGAGAAATGCCATACCATTTTCTATAGTGGTTGTGCCATTTTGCATTCCCACCAGCAGTGCATAAGAGTTCCAATCTCCCTGCAACCTCTTTAACATTTGTTATTCTCTGGGTTTTTTGTTTGTTTGGTTGGTTTTTTTTTTTTTTTTTTTTTTTTT